TAAATGTTTTAGTGCCACTGTGTGCAGCAGTGCTGCATTTACTCACTGCAGTACATAGACAAGATAAGGGTTGAAGACTAAAAACAATATGTCCTAAGCATTTTCTCACAAGTCCAACAGCATTTCTTGGAGAGCTTTTAACAGCAAGCATGTCCGTAATAAAGCCAAAGATAATAAGAGGAGGGAGAGGGAAACTGCAACGACAGCCGGTTAGATAATTTGGCTAGAAGATATTCAATTTGCTGAAGATCCACCCAGGACATACTGTATACGAGGGGCTGGGTTGAGGGATTTAGCCATGTGGGTTCAAGAGAGTTAAGCAAAGAACTTTTTTTTATATATTTCTAAACTCTCTGATAAATGGCATCCATGGTTTTCTGGTGCATTAGAGGAGGATTCATATCAGCTGTTTTCACAGCTGTTCCTCTCAAAGCCTTGGTTTAGAGAAATTCATAGTATCCAAAAGTGAAATCTGAGTATATTGTAATTGATTTTAGAGCTGCAGGGAAGCACCAAACCAGGACTTAGACTTTTGAACCCCATATAGTTAGATTTGAATTAAACATAAAAGTTCATTCTTGACTTTGGAAATAGAGTCCTTTATGAAAGCTTTCAACAGTATCACATGGTCTGAAGGTTGCTCAGTTTTTTTGGAAATGGAAACTTTTTTGTGTGATACAGTTGGGAGCTCTGTAAAAAACTACAAAATACACCTTGAGTTGGGTTTGTTTTGGCAAACGACTATTTCAAAGTTCAAGAATGAGCTTTCATGCCTCACTTTTAAGCCAACATAGACAAAAGGTCCTACAATTGCTGTAGATAAAGTCATAACAACTCCATTTGCTGATGAAGACAAGCACTGCAAAAAGCTAGTAGGTGGACCTTGAGTTAGGAATGTTTGTAACTATTTCAGAATACTTTCACTGAGCAATATGAAGTCAGGAAAACAGCTCATGAGTGGCAGGTTTTTAAGGTGTGTTTATGGTAATTTAAGGTTTAAGGTGACAGTGATGACAGTGATGGTAAGATAACTGGTAAATTATGACAGAAGATGCTTCCAGATGAAGATGTGAACTTACTGTAAGATCCTCACTTAATAGAAAAAAACACCACTGACTTCTGCAAGAATTATAAATGAGAGATTTCCTGTCTCTGATGTTAAAAAAAGGCTTGATAAGGCTCCACAAAATACATACATACATACAGTATACATACATTATACCAGTAATGAGGTACAGTAAATGTATAGCTGCTCTATGTAAAAAACTGGTCTCACTTATTCCATTAAAAAAAAACAGGGCCCATTGTGAAAATATTCCACATCCAACGAAATTCATTAAAAATACAGATCAGGTCATTCGGGTTAATAATGACATCATAGCAACTGTAGTGTGCTGATATCCAAAGCAGACAAGCACTAATGGACATTACATTAACACCGAGGTTCACGGCTGTTGTTGCAGCTGAAGTTTTAATGAAATACACAATCGAATAATATGAGAAAAATGTGCAGTATGTTAAAATGTTTCATACTCAACATCAACCACCTTGATTATATTCCTAATGAAAAGAGCAAAATTTCAGTGAATTCAATCATATTTTGAATTCCCAGACATATCCACATTTTGCCTTCTGTTATTCAAAAACGTTTCACAAAGAAAACACTCCCTTGTGATTCATGTCTTTGGATTTAGAACAAATCCCTCCATAGTTTCTGAATTCCTTTGGTGGTAAGTAGTCGCGGGTAGGTGGTAAGTAATCAATTTCAACTGTACTGAATTCCTCCATGGTTGCATTCCCATCACCCTCTCCATCATCCATGTGCAACTGGATCCCACAGACCTGATGTGCTCTTCCCCGAGGCCTCAAAACACACAAAAATTAACTTCATCAATTACTTTCAGCCGTATTTAATAATAAGGATAAAATGCCCCACAAGAATTATCATCTTATGTTACTGTGCAAAAGAGGCAAATTTGTAAAGAAAATGTGTCAAGTTTAGTGGCTTTTGTTAGATGCAGTAATGGAAGAAGTACTCAGATCTTTTAATGAAGTAAAAGTACCAGTACAACATTGTAAAAATACAAATTTACAAGTTAAAGTCCTGCATTTAAAATAATACTTAGGTCAAAGTATTGGCAGCAAAATATGCTTAAGGTATCGTGATAATGTACTAATTAATTAATGGAGCCAGTTTTAACTGCTTTATATGGTTAGGTAGTTTAGTCTAGGCGTTTCCAACCTAGCAGTCAAGCCCCTCCAAAGGGTCACAAGATAAATCTGAAAGGTTATGAAATGACTAATGGCAGTGGAAAGAAGAAAAAACAAAGTTCTGATACACAAATCTGTTTTCAGTTTTTGGACTTTTCTCTAATCTGTATTTCTAGTCAAATATTGGACAATTTGAACAGTTATTGAAATGAAAACATGTGAGAGGTTTATAGGGTAAATGTTTCTCTTTGGTGGAACACCTCATAGACATCTGAAACACAACTACAAACAGATTTCATATAAGAGGTCAATAGACAACAAGGTTGGGAATCACAGGTCTTATTTTTAACGATATGTTGGATCCATACCTGTACGTCTGTTTTGCAAATGCATTTCAATCTGCAATTTATTATGCACTATTGACAACAGCTACTTTTACCAGTCACTGTTAGGTATGGTCCTAGACGTGAGCATGTGGTAACATTGATCATACAGTGTCAAAGACTGGATAAAGTGATGCATTGATTTAGGGATGGCATTTGAAGCTGATTCTTACCACTCCAAACACTTTTGCATTGTTTTCTGTTGGTTCCAGAAATGATCATTGTATAGTTACAGTCAGGTTTGTGTCATGTCGGTGGTCTTCGTAGGGGTCTAAAATTGCTATGGGCTTAGGCCATGAATTGAATAGTAGTGCCCCCTCCTGTTCGAACGGTGTAGCATGTTTGGGTTTTAGACTGCCATGAACCCTGAGTTTCATTATACCTTGAGTTATAAGTTTTTATAGACCTTTTTTTCTCATTTATGTCATTACTGATGCTATCCCTACTTTTCTAGAAATGACCTTGAAGTTTGCAAATTAGTGATTGTAGTTTCGCTGTATAATGGTTTTATATTTGATGTCATTCACAGGTTATGTCACTATTGTTTTATATTTTACCATTTTCTCTAATTTTGAAGTGTTTCATACCACTTAGATATAATATAGATACATTATATTAATCTATATTGGACTGTACTTTGTATAAAGGCCAACAGAAGGGAGGGATTCCCACCTGTCTTCATATCCAGGGCCCCTACATCTGTCAGAGACCCAGATCTTTTTCTAGGGATGTCAGCTGAGGATAATTTATTGTTGGATGTGTTGCACTACAGACATACACTTAGAGACAACACTATGTGGGACCAGCCTCTGACAGGGCTGAAACAATAGGCTTGAATCACTGCAGACATTATGATGTCAAGGCAGGAAAACCACAGGTGTAATTAATAACCGTAATAAAAGTCAGGTGATCTACCTCCAGGGTTGCAATATTGTGCTGGCTCATTGCCCTGGCTTTATGATTTAAACAAATAAAACAGAGCCATCATTATTTTTATTAGTTACACCTGTGTTTCCCCTGCTTTGACAAGTTAAAAAAAAAACAAAATCTTTCCTTCCTCATCAATGTTATTATAGAGATGAATACTGCCTTAAGGTCAGAAAATTAACCTGTCACAGTATCTCAATATTATTCTCTCAACTAAACAATTCCACACACATTATAAATCTTCACATTAGTCTCGAAAAGTTTTCCTTTATAATATGAGACATCTCAACAAGAGAGTTTGAGAAGTTCTCTCATCATACCTTTGAAAACAAAACAAGGGCAATTTCTCTGAATGTGGGATTTTATCACAGTAGGAAAAGCACAGGTGTAAATAATAAAATTAAAGAGGACTGAATTCCATTTAGCTGGTTCAGTTACATTTAAATAGAACAAAGTTATCGTTAATGTTATTAGTAACACCTGTGCTTTTCCTGCTATGACTAGTCAAAATGAAATGTCTGCTGTGAAAAAGGGTCTGTGAGAAGTCTCAATACCATTACAGTTTATTTACGTATCTATTTTATTTAATTATTTTTCTTGTTTTTTGAAAACAACAACAGGACATTTTTGGTTTCCTTCCTAAGCAATTCTGTTCTCCCTCAGTAGCAGTTTCTTTGCAGCAATTTGACCATGAAAGCCTGATTCACAAAGTCTCATCCGGACAGCTGATGTTGATATGTGTCTGCTACTTGGACTTTAGACTCTATTCTGAGGCACTGTTAATTGGCATTTTCTGAGGCTGGTAACTCTAATGAACTTATCCTGTCCAGCAGAGGTAAGGTCTTCCTTCCCTGGGACAGTCCTCATGAGATCCAGTATAATATAGATTAGTGCAGTTGTCCAATAGGGCTATTTACTATATACCAACACTACCAACACAACACAGTTGATGGTCTCAAACACATTAAGAAGGCTAGAAATTCCACTAATTAACTTTGCAGCTGTTAATTGAAAAGCATTCCAGGTGACTACCTCATGATGCTGGTCAAGATAATGCCAATATTGTGCAAAACTGTCAAGATAAATGGTGGCTACTTTGAAGAATGTAAAATATTAAACATATTTTGTTTTAGTAAAAAAAAAAAATTAAAAAAAATAGTCAAAATGAGACAAAAGGAAGACCTATTAATATATATGTATGTGTGTGTGTGTGTGTGTGTGTCTGTGTGTGTGTGTGTGTGCGTGCGTGCGTGCGTGCGTGCGTGTGTGTGTGTATAGTTTATTATTATAATTATTAATTTGTATATATAAGTAGTTTTTAATATTAAGTTTGTGAGAAGGAGTAAAAGTGTAGTATCTAATTTTTCACCTTTCACTTCTGCCTAACATTTTACCTTTTTGATAAATACGGGCACAGGTCATCAGAGCGCTGCGGTGCAGCAGCACCACCTGGTGGTCAGGGGTGGGACCAGCCTCTGCTCTGTGTACACTAGCACAGTTGAAGATGGCGACTGGAGTCCTTCAGAGAGTCAGCGGAGGCTTGGCTCGGGCTAAGGGCAGGGCCCACTCGGCCGGACAGCTTGTCCTCTGGAGCAGGTGGGCGGTCATCAGTGTGCAGGGCTCAGTGTTTGCTGGTGTGCTGTCTGTAGTTGGCTGTTGTGTATTTTTATCAGCAGGTCTCTGAAGTGGCTACGATGAGCCTGGGGAAGCTAGCCCGTTAACTGCTAGCCAGTCCTCAGTGGCCTTAAGCTTTAACTTAAACCAGAAACTGCACTTTAACATTATTTATTCCGGGGTATTTCAGATTAACGCTACGCGTGTTTCCTGGTGAAGGTGAAAGAATACAAGTTTCTGTCATCTTTTGTCAGTGAGCATCTCAAATGCTCAAGGTCAATTTGATACTTTATCTTTATTGCCAACTTGAATGTGTCTGCCCTCTGTTAGGTGCTTTATATGAGCCATACTCTTACATACTGTTGCCTGCAGTAATTCATATACATCACTATCATTGTGTGTGTATTATTTACCTCAGAGGAGCTGACGTGTCAAGCTCAGTCTGTATTTTGATTAGCTTACTGTAAAATATTGTCCTACAACAGCTTTCAAATTAAAGTGTAACCATATTCTTAATAAATAAATTGCACATGCAAAGACACAAAGAAGGAATGAGACTTTCTCAAACCCCATGCAATTGATCATCATGACATGTCTGTGTTTGCAGAGGATTTGCAACATCAAGCAGCAGAAACCGGGAGGACAGCTGGTTTAAATCACTGTTTGTGAGGAAGGTTGATCCAAGGAAAGATGCACACTCCAACCTACTGACCAAAAATGAGGAGAGTAACCTCTACAAAATTCAGTGTAAGTTGCTTTCTCTATATTTACAATTAAACCACGGCAAACCCTTACGCCTGAAATAATGATGAGATTGTTTTCAAACACAAACTTTCTTTTCAGTCCACAATGTGAAACCAGAGTGCCTGGAAGCATACAACAAACTCTGGTGAGTGTTATTTCACATTATTGTCAAATCACGTATAGTTTTATTAACTTGTAGTTCAGCAGATGTAGTGTCAACAGTAGTAGTGTGAGATCAGGACAACCTAAGTACAGCGTTGTGCAGTATTGAGTAAAAATAGTCTGGAGCAGTCTATTCCTGTGAGGTGGTCCGTCCCTCACAGACCAACCTTGCTCATACCTAAGATGCCAGGAGGCCATTTGCTTGTAGTTAGGGACTAACTTGGGACTCGCAACATTAAACAGAAAACATATGACCAGAAAACATGTGATTGTTATTTAGATTTGGTAGTTGGAAAATAACTTCTTCAGGGGACTTGACTGCAAATATGAATCCAGTGTCAAATGCACTAATAATATATGTGCTGTATTTCAGTATTTGATCCAGGTGTCCAGGTGAAATGAATTTGTTTTCTTATTCATCACAGTGAGGATGTTTTGCCCTCCATCCATGCTGATAAGTACTACCCCTGTGAGCTAGTGGGAACCTGGAATACCTGGTATGGAGAACAAGACCAGGCTGGTAGGATTACTAGTATTAACATTTGCAGTATAACAGATCAGGGGTCTGCACTGTTTTCAAATCAGCAGGCATGCTATACTATATATCCGTCCTCATGCAAGTATAATTATTAGGAATTTATGATGTGTGTATCCGGTTAGAAGTTGTTGTATTTTTAAACCTGTAGAAACTATAGCTCCACCTTAAATGAGCATTCCTGATTTCCAGGGTCAGTATTTCTCATTCTTCTTGTTGCACAATTACATTATATTACATCAATTATTGCATTATTTATTGACCAGAAGTACAATTCATTACAGAATTATTGGCTTGATATTGAACAAAACACAAACAAGACTTATCCACCAAGTCAGACATCCATGAAACATAATAATGATATAACCTGTTCAGACTAACAAACATTTCTTGTGAATTTCCTCCTAACCCTAACGATGTTTATTTATCGGGATGTAGCAGCACTTTCACAAAGACAAATCGAGTACACAGAGTCTGAGGCCTGGAGTAATGTTTATTTTAATTATATTATTTAATGATCCTGCTTTTAATATATTTGCTTTCTCTGTAGTTCACCTGTGGCGTTACAGAGGTGGATACCCCGCTCTAACAGAGGTGATGAACAAGCTCAGACAGAACAAGGTAACGACTCCTTCGCAAGCATCTTGTTTGTGTCACCTGTGTATAACGCTTTAGTCGTAGAGCCATCAGTCCAAGTAAAGCTTATCGATTGGTGTCCGTCCACTGACAGGAGTTCACGGCGTACAGGAAGGAGCGGGGTAAGATGCTGTTGTCTCGCAGGAACCAGCTTCTCTTGGAGTTCAGCTTCTGGAACGAGCCTGTACCCCGAGAGGGCCCCAACATCTATGAGCTCAGGTCCTACCAGCTCAGGGTAAGTACCAGAGCCAGGGTTTATCTTATCATTAGCGGTGTACTTGATGATAGCGACAGATTTATGAGCTAAGTCATGCCTCATGTCTGATTTGGCCCACGCCTTTGCTTTACCAAACATAATCAGCTCTTTTACCAAGAAACCCAAACACTGATTAAACTTAAAAAACTCACATGGATGTAACAGCTTATATTGAATTAATTGCTCTTTATTTTCAGTTTTATTTATTCAGCCCAAAGTCACAAATTTGCCTCGAAGGTCTTTGCCAATCTGTAAAACATACAACACCCTCTATCTTTAGACTGCTGGTTCAGATAAAGGACTTTCATTACGATCTAAATGATGGAGCTCATGATCTGAATCTTTTTCTAAACTTTTGTACACCTCTGACAAATCACTCGGTTTTCGCATCATCCTAACTTCACATTGTGAAGTGTACACTTGGTTCAAGGCTAAAAGTCATCTGCACAGCATGTTGTTGCAGGAAGGGAGAACGTTACTCTTTCACTTTCCTAGCTCACGTTTTCCCACTTAAACGGATGATCTCCCGGTCACATGCTTTACTTATGTGACCTCTAAATTGCCTCCACCCTCACAGGAATACTGTATGATGTGTAACCACCCCTTCAGGATGACAGTGGTGGTGGACAGTCTCCACTTGTGCTATTTTTTTCCAACCGGGTCACTCATAAACAATTTATACCTACTTATGGACTCCTCGTTGACTATGGCAATCCAGTGGCACATGACTTTAGCCTGGATCAATGGTTGGATTGAAATCAGTCTTAGTCTAACGTAATGCTTGATACACCCTCCGCCAGTTGCAGATTTAAGTCGTACTTTCTAGGCAAAACTTTCTAGATAAGCGCTCCCTGGGACACGTGATGAATGCAGGCTATTATCCCTCATCACAGACTCAGATTACATCTTAGAAACAGCAGGACATTTGTTGCCTTAAGCACCAGACAATGATTGAGGAAGCCTTCGGGTGTAGTTATTATTGCAGCTTATCTTCACAATGACAAAATACCTGAGTTACGTCTTTATCACTCATTTGTGTTAATACGTTTACTCTGGAAAGAAGAAGAAAGTGTGATACCCATCTGTAGTTTGGAAAGCTCGGAATTATATATGTCTTAATGTAATAAAGAATCCTGTGTTTTCTTTCCTGCAGCCAGGAACCATGATCGAGTGGGGTAATTACTGGTAAGGCAGCCTGAATTCATTTGATTCACTGAACTGTAGTTACAGAACAGTTGCACTACATGAAACCTTCCTCATCACACTGTCATTAATAAGAGCTATTCCACAGAGAGGCCCTATTTTGAAGCTGTACTGTCATGCTCTCAAGCCAAGACCCAAAATCAAGTGCAATATTATGTACACTGCAAATGTGTGTCCGTAATAGTTGTGTATAATGAGCCTGGAAAGATCCACTGCATGGTCTGACCGAGCCAACAGGTCGGCATTTATCAGTTTGTGCAACACAGTTGATTGTAATTGATTAAAATGAAGATGTGAGCTTTCTCCACACGACTTAGTTTACCATAGCCTTTTTTTCCTCTGATGGCTCTGTATAGGATTTCTGTGTTGGTCTTTGTACTTGTATGACCATTTTTTCAGTTGTTACTAAATCCACTGGATTACATATCACTACATGTTTTTGGCTGCAAAAAATACTACTGACTTATACGGTCAAATCTTCCATATCTTTTTCCAGTTAACAGATTTGTAGTGATCCCTAACCATCATGTGCACCATTTTAAATGAAAATATGACATAAAACCCTTGAATAATATCTAGTAGCTTTTCTGCTTTGAGTTTTCAAGTTTCCATCCTTCTTAAAAAAGCATAAATGTGATTTTGAAATAATCATAGGGGGAAAAAATTATGTTGGATGAAAAGACCACGCTAAGACAAGTTCATCTTTTCCTAAAGTCAGTTATTTTCTTATGTTTGCGTTTATGTTTACTTTAACCAAGCTTCATTTGAACAAACCTCTGTAGTCATGCAGATAATGCCAGTAAAGCAATTTAAGGCAATTTCAATATAATTTGTGGAATTGAAGGCTTTAAATCCAAGTTCAAGTTACAACAACATGAAGAACTGAGGCCGTATAGTTTTGAATCCAGACAGTGATTATGATTTGAATAAGTGTATGTTTGCTTTGGGACAGTGCGTAATGGATTTTAAACATCTCCCTCACCTCAGTCCACTTATTTCACATAGACTTGGCCAGTGTTAAGATTCATAGACATACATACAGTAAGTTATGGCCTCACATCTAATGCTTGGACGTAATGTTGCAATGGATAATCACAGTTATGGAAGACAATTGCCATCCATTTTACGTTACCAAACAGAAAAAGTGTAATTGTGTAAATTAAAGACAGTCCAGAGTAAATTCAAAGATGATGTTGAAATACTTGTTTGAGGACTGGTCAAATATCTTGTGCGTGCAGGGCCGGTTTTGTTATGCCAGATGAAGCCTTGGTGTTTTTGGCCTGTGTTGTGACTGGAGTTGTTTTTGTCTGCAGGGCCAGGGCCATTGGATACCGCCAGCACAACAGAGAGGCTGTGGGAGGGTTTTTCTCACAGATCGGTAACCTCTATATGGTTCATCACCTCTGGGGTACGGTCAAATACCAGCTTTTGCAGAATTACATGCTGATAGTGTCGAAATCATTAGCTTCTTCACAGAAAAGCAGTCAATAATTGTTCTGATAATTCTTTTTTTTTTTTTTAAGTTATTTATCAAGCACAGAGCCAAAATTTGCTGGTTCCTGTTTCTAAAATGCTGCTTTTCTCTGTTGTATATTACTATGAAATGAATGTATTTGGGTTTTTACTGGACAAACAATCATTTTCTACTGTTTTCTGAATTTATTCAGACTTAAAGCTGCACTAATTGGTGTCTTTAAACAAACACTGGATCAAATGAGTATGTGTTAAGTGAACTGAACAGCTTTTATTGAGGAGCCCACAGATAATTATTACTCAACTTTGTACTTCGTCTCAACTGTACAGAGCAGTTTTACCTCTTTCTGCTCTTTGCTTTGGTTTTCTGGCCAACAGCTTTATTGTGTTGGTTCATTCTCTCTGCTCTCATAGTCTTAGCGGACAGCTATTATCAGTGAGAAAACTCTGATCGACGCACTGTACACTACCTACTCAGCACCGAACAGCAAACAGACACAGTTAGCAATTGTGGAGCATTTAGCAGCTAAAGAGAGAGACTTTTTTCCTCAAGATTTGGTAGAGACCAAAAATAGAACACAAAGGAAAGTGAGTATTGGACATAAATTCATCAGGGAAACACAAACACAACTCCAAATGAATATTCATGTTGCTCCATGTCTGCTGGAATTGTACTTATATATGCAAGTGTTTCATAAAACCTTCACAACAACTTTGTATATTTTAAGGTCAAAAGATGTTCACATCTGAATTCTGCTGCAACCACATGTCCAGAAATATCTGTTATTGTGTTATTGTTGTTATACATGTGTGTGATTTGTTGATTTCAGCTTACAAAGACCTGCAGTCCAGAGAAAACACGAGGAATGGTGCCTGGCAGGAGGAGGGCTGGCACGAGGTGGTGTATTACACAGGTGAGCGAGAATAAAATCCTTTTTCAAACACTAAGTGCTGATGAGAACTCATGTTTGTGTCACTGCAGATTTTCTGAGTCTTTCTCTCCATTCTTTTGGCATTTACATCATTTGTCTTGAGTAACAACATACTGAACTTTTTTTTATCACTTTAAGACCCTGTTGAAGCTGATCAATATCAAACAGACTTTAAACTATGAGGACACACTAAATCAGTTCTAAATCTGTTGTTTCCCCTTTCTCCAGTTCCTCTCATTCAGCATATGGATTCCAGGATTATGATCCCGACAAAGGCTTCCCCGCTGCAGTGAAGTGAGAAGTGAGCTGGAAGCTGAAATCAAGTGGCACCCTTTCGAATGTTAACATCCATCCAGAGCATTACTATCATGGTTTCAACCTCCTGCCACAGTGCTGCCAGACAACATCCTTTTATTCTTTTTCCCTAATTCTTTTTTTGTCTTTGCTTCAATACTTCAAGATGTCACAAAGTCAGAGGAGGTAACAATGCCTACCATGTATTTGGAATTAAAAAAGTCCAAGCCACTTAAAGCCCTTGACAACAGACTTTTTTCTTTTCTTTTTTTTTGGGTACTGGGGCAGGATGAGTAAATTTGGCCAATTTAAACGTCCTGATGTTCATTACATCCAACGTCTCGTACCACATTAAACGCTGGTCCATAAAGAGAAATCATCTCTAAGTTTAGAACCAACCAAAGTTACTTGAAAAGGCGAGCAGCTATATATAGTGTAAGTGTGGGAACTGATATTAAGAAAAATAGTACTGCTGAAGCTCACTACACAATGCAGTGGCAATTTATTTATTTAATGTAAATTTGGAATACTTGTATTATCTACATGTGCTGAGTAAGTGGCACTTAGATGTAAGCCATGCCATTGCTGAGTGAAGTGAGAGAAAGCCTCTGTATACTCATGAAAACTGTGTATCTGCCTCAAATTATGATGATGATGATGATAAAGTACAACATGGTGTAAAATGTAAACCTCAGAATTTTATAATTGTGGTCCATTATACATCGAACATTTTTTTTTTTGCAAACTACTCCTTTCAGTTGCTTTTTCCAGATGTTCCTAAGTTCTCTGTCATGGTGATATTGATGTTTCATGGTGCTGTGTTTGTAACTATGGCTTCTACTTTTTTCTTGTGAAGACAGCATGCCTGATTTTAAAAACTTTTTATCTAACCTGTTTTAAAGGGGCATAACTATCATCTATGATAAACTCTGAAAATAAATGTTATCTATCATTGGCTGAGAGGCCAGTCATGTTGCTGCATACTGTAATATCAGAGATTTTATTGTGAAAGGAAGCATGTTTATCTTGTCTTTCCGTTCATGGAATCATAGGAAACAATGTGGAGGGAAGGACAGCAACGCCAACACAGAATAAAGTTGTTCAAACAACATCTTTGACAGCACGTTTTTATTTTTAATGCTGACGTTCTTCACGGGACTGAAGTCACCACACTCACTGACACATCTGGTTACAGTTCTTAGTACCTATACAGAATTAAAACATTTCTAATGCTCATTGCACATGTCATTATATGCAGGAGCTGTATTAGATTATCTAAAGGCTTTGATGCAAAAAGTGCAAAAACACTAAAATCTTCTTCTTAACCCTCCACATAGACAGTGTTTGGTTATTCTTGTAGTATCTTCTAGTATAAAAAAATCAATAAGGCAACATCCCCATGAAGGTAAAATTGGTGTCACTAGTGTAAACATTTTTCATTATAAAAATCTAAAAGTCTAAGGAAAAATGTGCTCTGGATAAAACTATCAGAGGCACACCCTTAGGTGCAAATATAAAATGTTAAAATTAGTAGTTACTATTCTTTTAGCATCTTTAGATCTTCTCCATTTCTTTTAGTAGCTCCCCAAAACTTGTAACGTACCACGAACACCTCTCCTTTACCTGCGGCCTCACAACGTTCCCACCAAATCCAATGAAAGCACTCTGAGGATGAAAGAAATAATACTATAACCACACTGTAGCTCCAATATGCATATTAACCACCTGTCAAATATTTATGTGCACACTTGAAACTGACGACATACAGCGTAAGGTGCAACACTTACAGCAGGAGGGCAGGCCTCTAGATCAGTGGCTCCATCTCCGATCATCACAACAGTCTTGAAGCCATACTGTTCCTTCAGCATGCTGATGACCTTTCCTTTTCCACCACTCTCAGCTGTGGGCTGGCTCTCATCAAAACCAGCATACTCTCCTGGAAAACACATAATTTAATTAAGAAATGTAGGATAATGCCAAAGAACAAGCTGACAGGAGATTTCTGATAGGAAACACAAAATGCCATTTTTGATGTTATCAGGTAGAGGATTCAGGCCTTGTACTGAATTGTTTCATAGTCATTACAAAACTCCACTCTTGTAAGAACAGAGAAAAGTCACAAACAGCTCTTACCAGTGAAGTAGAACTTGAGCCGGTTGGCATAGACGTGATGCAGAGGAATGTTTAGCTGAGTGGCCACATGTTCAACAATGCAGCGGAAGCCCCCTGAAATGAGGAACACCTTTATGTTGCGCTGGTGCAGACGGTCCACAAGCTCCCTGGATGAAGACAAATGGACATTTAGCAACATTCAAATTAGAAGCATTCAATTTTTTTCTTACATTTTTGTGTAACAGGCAATAGTAAGATCTCATTTGGACCAAGAAGCCTCATCTATCAACTACATCTGAGCAAACCATAATTGCACACGTTTACAACTGGATGTGATTAATTACACATCTTTGCATATGCACAAAGGAGCAGGACAGGCTTATAATGATAAACACATGAATAGCATTAATGCCAGGACTCTCATATTTGGAAGATGACATTAGTCTCATGCCTAATAAAGAAGGTGTATAAACTGCCAACAAAATGTCTGCCATGTCAGCAGCCATGATAGTTAAATACAAACAGACAGCTCATTTGTGCTCATAGTAGAAACTGTTTTGTAGAGTTTCAGACACTGGATGGCCATCCTGTGTTGGACAGTTTGGTGCCTAAATCACCTGCTTTTTATTTTCTTGTATAAACCACTTCCAGAGACCACGACTTAAGACTATGACTTCAAAATACTCTTGAAAATATTGTACTTGCTGTTCTTAAATGGCAACAACAATTAACAAGTTCTGTTTCCTTATAAACAGAGGATAGGATTGTTTAGCACAAATGGTCAGTTTAGGTGATTCATTTGTGGACATTAAATCCCCTGTGCATACCAATGTTTCCGTATTGAGCGGAATACAAAGTCACTACGTTACTCAAATAAACAAAATGTTGGCATGCTCACCTGATACCTGGAGTCAGCTGAGGTGGGTGGTCTGTTATCAGTTTGTTCACTTGTTCTCTGGAACATCGGATGATGGAAAGACGCTCAGTCAGGGCTGTTTTAAAAGTCATTGAACCGCCCATAGCTTTGCGAGTCCTGATATGTGAAAGTAAAACAGGATGGTTTAACATCTGGAACAAATCCAGTAACATCAAATATCAACATGAAAATTCTGCACTGTTGTTCTTTCAGTACAACAGTGCAGATAAATAATTTTAAAGTATTTGTTTTCCCATTTGATGTAATGTTGAGAGCATTTATACACATACATTTCAGTGACTGCATCCCCCACACCACAGAATTTGGCCAGTTCATCAATGCCTTCCTCTTTGATGACGGTGCTGTCCACATCGAAACAGACAGCGTCTGCTCTCCTGAAGAGCTCCTTGGTCTGTGAAAGTGTAGTCATCATGCTGGGCAGAAAAAAAAGTATACAGTATGAGAGGCTCAAATACAACAGAACCAGTTCAACAGGAATTACAGGTCTGATGGCACAGATTTGTTATTCTCAAAGTACTTTATTAAAATAAGTGTTGCAGGTAAACAGCAAGTGCAAAAATACCTTGTGTGAACAACTCAGCTACAGATGAAATGTATTGTTTGATGTAAAAAATCAGCTCACAGAAAAATGGCTTTTTGCTTGTAATTCTGATTTATGAATATAAAATATGGAAAACATAAATCAAATTAAATAAAGCTGAGCAAGAAGAATTCCTATGATCAACAGTGAATCCAAACAATACATTTCTGAAATGAATGGTATGATTAGCAATAAATTGTGAGAAGTTACTCCACAGTTGTTTTGTATGGGGACAACTCCAAAACAGTTGGATAGATGGATGGATCGCGTGAATTACATTATTACAGCAGCCTACACAACAGCGAAAAATGTGCTCATTAAGAACACATTGTTATCAATAACGTGAAAAATAAAGTTATGGAGTAAGAATAAAAAAGACAATACAGAGATAAAAATGTCCTAAAACTACAGTAGAAGTAGTCGTAGAAATAGCAGCCATACTAGACACTCTGACACTCCCTACAAAAGCTACAACTTACATCAGTTTCTTTCTTACATTTCTGGATAAAAGCTATGAAGCATTTTAAAGGATTATTTCTTTGACTTTGTTATTAAAAAATAGGATGTGGCAACATTAGGAAGTCATCTGAGAGAAAATCTAATTGTCATTATCAGCGTCCCGAGATGGATTTGGTGGTTTAACGTGAGGTCTGTGATTCTGCAGAGCAGTTGCCTGATTTTATTGTTTAACTAAGCCCTGTATGCAGTGAATGTCTTCAATCCAAACACATCCATTGACTGAAATACCTATGTGCAAACGTTTCTGCATCGACGGAGCTCATCTCATCAAATAATCACATGTCCGGTGATGTGAGAAAAAATGGGTTACATAAAGCAATCTGCCTAAATAAACCATACTGGAGGCCGTTAAGGACATACTCTGCCTGTATTGCGTCACCCCAGACACACTACAGAGGACCAAGGCTGGCAAGCGAAACCCACAACAAACATGAAGACGATGAAAGCCGATCAACCGAGCCGATTCTGCTGGTCTTGCGTTGCGGTTGCTCGCTGCTGCAAAACACTGGCATGACGGTGTCACGGCTTTACGTTACAAATGACCGTTAACGGTTCCCGAGAGGATGCTACCTGTCCGGTGTGGTCAGCTTCTCTTGATTTTAGAGCTTTCAACACCTTCTGTTCAAATGTCCAGTGTGAGAAACTACTCACGCTGCAGGCCAGGCTCGTGTCTTCAAAAACATTTATTTACAACATTATATTTACTAAATATACTCAGGTTGTCCTCTGGTACTTACTGATACGAGCAACGTCGATGCAGCAGTAACAGCAGCTCCACCATTAGCCAGCCTCTCTCTGTGGGTTCACCGATGAGGAAGTGGAGCGCTCACTGCGGAGCCAATCACAGTCAAGCCGGTGAGGGACCGCCCACTAGCCTTTGGTCCGATTCCTTGACAACAGTAACGGTCAATTAACGGCCAATATATGCTACTATGAAATGTGTCTCAGCAGGGTTACATTTTATCTGCTATCCTTGTAGTAAATTTAATTTTAAACAGGGGTGTAGTGCGAATAGTTCTTAAAGTCATCATGTTACAACTTTATTTACAAAAAGAACAGGTTAGAGTAATACCTCCATAAAAGATTACGTCCATATCGTTTCAATATCTTGTTAACAGTCAAATGACTAAAAATTAGCATGTCATTGCTATACTATTTTTTTTTTTTACTTTTATTCTTTATGGTGCATTGTTATCAATTCTTAAAGGAGCTATTTAAAGTTTTTCTGTTGTTACATTAGCCAATGTTAGCATTGACTGTTTACTTACCAGTCAACAAATGTTGTGAGTTCAGCATCAAACTTCATTCGGTTTCTCACAAAGAGCTGTCTCCAATGGAATGGAAAGTTACACCAGTATTATCTGTCTCTGTCACGTCTTTTCTTCTGCTGAAGTTAGCACACTAACCAGCTAGCCCTGGGCAGTCTTGTCACTTCCCGATTGGGACTCTCTTGTAGCCTCAATCAGCCCTGAATAAGTAATGCCGCTCAGAGGGCGTATTATAACCTCTCGTCTTGTAAATGCAACAATAGCCAATAAAGCTATTTTCAAGTGAATCACACCACCCACTCCCGGCAAGAAAGGCTGTAAATGAAAAAAAAGCAAATATGTTGGTAAAAGAAATCATCATTAAAACTGTTCTAAAAGTGAGGAGAGGGGAATATTAGATACATAGCTGAATAAATTAGTTGGGATAATTCTGGTGCTGTCAAAGTGTTTAGACATTTAAGAAACGCGCGCGCGCGCACACACACACACACACACACACACACACACACACACACACACACACACACAGGGCTGAATGAAAAAGCCCATTGAGATAACCAGGTTGAGATGCAATTAAATCTGAAATTAGGATCAGATAGCAGTATTAGTGGGATCATGAAAAACTGGAATGTTTTTAGAAAACACTGAAAGGAACACTGAAGGAAAAGTAGGACACTAAAATACAATCTTGAAGAAAAGGTGGCATCTTCAAAGAAATGACCCTCTAGGCCAGGCCAGATGGTGGCAGTAATGGGCGCAAAATGCCACAAAACACCAGAAGAAGAAGGCAACCCAAGGCGAAGAAGAAGGAACGGAAGGCAGCTGACACCCCACGTTGTAGCCGCGGTGTGGAGCGTGGACAAGATGTCGCTCTAGATTGTCCTGGTTCGCTGGAAAACCTCACCTGGGTCTAAAGGAAATGTGAGTTTGCACGTCAGGACAGTTCACTTCAGTGAGCAGCCTAAAGGTCTTTGATTCGCTTTACGATATACACGTGAGGAGAAGTTAACTTGTGTAGCCTAGAAAGCATGTGGTCCACATGCAGCCGTCTAGCTAACGGTATGACAGGCCACTGTAAATGCAGGGACATGTTGCTAGGACGCCCGCGGCCGTCTCAGTGCGCCCGCGACATCCACACGAGGAGAAAAGAAAAGAAAAAAAAATCCGCGAATTAATAGAGGCATGAAGTTTGAACTGCTATAGCGATCTGATTGCAACAGAGGGATATTGTTTAATTTGGAGTGGTGAAAATGCACTTCCTTGACTCTTGGCATAGACAGTTTCGATGATCATCAGGATGAGTGCTGTGAAAAAGGGAAAAGTTGAGTTCAGAAATGTCGTGTTTTTTTTTAAACGAGTGGACTTATAAATATTTTGTTACTCATGTGGGTTCAAAAGGCTGTATTGCCCTGAATATGCCAAAAAGTGCAATTTCACTGTTTCAAAGAATATAATATTAAGAGACATTTTTTCGAAACCAGAGCATGCCAACTATGCCACCACCTATCGTCGGCGGGGAGAAGCAAAAAGGGCCCTGAAATTGTTCCTCCGATTTAAACCGCCCGTCAGAAGTATTTTGTGAAGCAGACGGCCATGACAAGAGACAGTCACAAAGTGAGAGCTTACATGCCGGCCTCTTAAGCGCTGAGCCCAAACACGTCAGCTCGTTCCAGAGGGTGAGGTTTCTTAGCAAAGACCGTATGGTTGAGAACTGTGCCCTGACATAAAATCAAGTTTTTTGAAAAACTGTCAGTCTGTCTCGTCGGGCCGGTACTAGGCGTGTGAAGAGTGATTGAATGCGGCAGTCTCACTGAATCATGAGTAGTTAGATTGAGAATTGATTAATTGTAATATTCATCGGGTATTGATCATGTTATTTTGTTTAAAAAGGGGCTAGTAGAATAACACAATCAAGCCACCATAATCTATGTACCGGTAGTTGTAAAAGTAATTCGCAAGTAAATATTTCATGGTTTAAATTTTAATTTTCCAAATTGTTGTGGCCTTCACTTACTTTTAACGAGTCAAGTATGGCCCACTGAAAAAAAAATATTGCCCGACTAATGTCCTAGCAACATGTTCCTGCATTTACAGTGGCCTGTCATACCCGTTAGCTAGGACGGCTGCATGTGACCAACCAATGCTTTCTAGGCTACCAAGTTAACTTCTCCTCACGTGATATCGATAAGCGGAATCAAAAGACGCTTTAGGCTGCTCACTGAAGTGAACTGTCCTGACGCTGCCAAGACTCACATTTCCTATTGAGACCCAGGTGAGGTTTTCCAGCGAACCAGGACAAATCTAGAGCGACATCTTGTCCACGCTCCCACCGCGGCTACAACGTGGGGTGTCAGCTGCCTTCCGTTCCTTCTTCTTCGCTTGGGTTGCCTTCTTCTTCTGGTGTTTTGTGTGCATTTTGCGCCCATATACTGCCACCTATCTGGCCTGGCCTAGAGGGTCATTTCTTTGAAAGATGCCACCTTTTCTTCAAGATTGTATTTTTAGTGTCCTACTTTTCCCTTCAGTGTTCCTTTCAGTGTTTTCTAAAAACATTCCAGTTTTTCCATGATCCCACTAATACTGCTATATCTGATCCTAATTTCAGATTTAATTGCATCTCAACCTGGTTATCTCATGGGCTTTTGTTCATTCAGCCCTGTGTGTGTGTGTGTGTGGTGTGTGTGTGTGTGTGTGTGTGTGCTGTGTGTGCGCGCGCGGCGCGTTTCTTAAATGTCTAAAACCTTTGACAGCAACCAGAAATTATCCCCAAACTAATTTTATTCAGCTATGTATATCTAATATTCCGCTCTTATCTCTCACTTACTTAGAACACGTTTTAATTGATGATTCTTTTACCAACATATTTTGCCTTTTTTTTCAATTTACAGCCTTTCTTGCGCGGGACGAGGTAGGTGGGTGTGGGTGTGATTCACTTGAAAATAGCTTATATGGCTATTGTTGCATTTACAAGAGCCGAGAGTTATAATACGCCCTCTGAGCGGCATTACTTATTCAGGGCTGATTGAGCTACAAGAGAGTCCCAATCGGGAAGATGACAAGACTGCCAGGGCTAGCTGGTTAGTGTGCCTTGCAACGTTCAGCAGAAGAAAAGACCGTGACAAGAGACAGATAAATACTGTGTAACTTTCCATTCCATTGGAGACAGCTTTTGTGAGAAAACCGAATGAAGTTTGATGCTGAACTCACAACATTTGTTGACTGGTAACGTAAACAGTCAATGCTAACATTGGCTAATGTAACAACAGAAAAACTTTAAATAGCTCCTTTAAGAATTGATACAATGCCCACCATAAAGAATAAAAGTAAAAAAAAAAAAAAAGTAGTATAGCAATGAACATGCTAATTTTAGTCATTTGAACTGTTAAACAAGGATATTGAAAACGATATGTTTTACGTAATCTTTTATGGAGGTATTACTCTAACCTGTTTCTTTTGTAAATAAAGTTGTAACATGTGATCTTTTAAGAAACTATTCGCACTACACCCCTGTTTAAAATTAAATTTCTACAGAGGAAGCAGAGTTAGAAATGTAATCCTGCATAGAGACACATTTCATAGTAGCATAGATATTGGCCCGTTAATTGACCGTTACTCGTTGTGCAAAGGAATCGGGACCAAAGGCTAGTGGGCGGTCCCTCACCCCGGCTTGCACTGTGATTGGCTCGCAGTGAGCGCTCCACTTCTCATCGGTCGAACCCCACAGAGAGGGCGTGGCTAATCGGTGGAGCTTGCTGTTACTGCTGCATCGACGTTGCTCGTTATCAAGTAAGTACTCAGTAGGACACCTGAGTAATAGTTTATGTAAATATAAATGTTGTAAATCAAAATTGTTTTGAAGACGTACGAGGCTGGGGCGGCGCAGCGTAGGAGTAGTTTCTCACACTGGACATTATGAACAGAGGTGTTGTGAAAGCTCTAAAATTCAAGAGAAAGCTAGACCACACACGGACAGGGTAGCAGTCGCTCCTCGGGCAACCGCTTTACACGGTCATTATGTGTAACGTAAAAGGCCCGTGACAACCGGTCATGCCCAGCTGGTTTTGCAGGCAGCCGAGGAACCGCACGCGCAAGAACCAGCAGAATCTGCGCTCGGTGATGATCGGCTTTCTTCATCGTCTTCATGTTTGTTTGGGGTTCGCTGCCAGCCTTGGATCTCTCTGTAGTGCTGTCGCTGGGGGTGATCGCAATACAGGCATGAGTATGTCCTTAACGGCCTCCAGTACATGGTTTAGTTTATGGCAATGATTGCTTTACTGGTAACGACGTAGCTCTTTTTTTCTCACATCACCGAGACTATGTGGAGTTATTTAGAATGAGATGAGCATCGGCGTCGATCAGAAACGTATTGTGTCATAGGTATTTTATCCTCAGTCAATGGATGTGTTTGGATATTGGGTAGACGAACATTCACTGCCAATAACCAAGGGCTTAGTTTTAGATAAACAATAGAACATCGAAGGCACCTGCTTCACGATAGGCTCAGGATCACAGAACCCAATTAACGCCTACAACTCCGATCTCGGACGCCTGTATTAATGAAATTAGATTTTCTCTACAGATGTGACTTCCTAATGTTGCCACACAGTCCCTATTGTTTTAATAACGAGAGGTAAAGAAATAATCCTTTAAAAATTGCTTTTGTTCCAAATAGTTTTTATCCAGAAAATGTACAGAAGATAAGCTGATGTAATGTTCGTAGCTTTTGGTTAGGGAGATGTCAGAGTGGTCTAGTATGGCCTGCTATTTCTACGACTGAACTTCTACTGTAGTTTTTCAGGACATTTTTATCCTCCTGTATTGTCTTTTTTATCTCACTTACGCCATAACTTTTATTTTTCTCACGTTATTCGATTACAAATGTGTTCTTAATGAGCACATTTTTTTTTTGTTTTTCGCTGTTGGTGTAGGCTGCTGTATAATGTAATTCACGTCGAATCGCATCCATCCTAGTCCAACTGTTTGGGTTGTCCCTCATACAAACAACTGTGAGTAACTTCCTCCACAATTTATTGTAGTCATACCATTCATTATCAGATAATGTATTGTTGGATTCACTGTTGATCATAGGAATTCTTCTTGCTCAGCTTTATTTCAATTTGATTTAATGTTTTTTCCATATTTTATATATAATCAGAATTACAAGCAAAAAGCCTTTTTCTGTGAGCTGATTTTTTACATGCAGAACGAAAGCGCGATTTGATCTGTGGGCTGTAGTTGTTCACACAGGTATTTTGCACTGCTTGTTTACCTGCACACTTATTTTAAATAAGTACTTTGAGAATAACTAAATCTGTGCCCATCGAGACCTGTAATTCCTGTTGATTAGTCTGGGTTCTGTATGTGTATTTGAGCCTCTCATACTGTATACTTTTTTTCTGCCCAGCATATGACCTACACTTTCCCACAAGCCCAAGGAGCTCTTCAGGAGAGCAGACGCTGTCATGTTTTCGATGTGGATCAGCACCGTCATGCTATAAGAGGGAGAAGGCATCATATTTGATGAACTTGGCTCAAAGATTCTGTGGTTGTGGGGGATGCAGTCAACCTGAAATGTATGTGTATAAATCTCTCAACGATTAGCATCAAATGGGAAAACAAATACTTTAAAATTTATTTATCTGCACTTTTGTAACGTGAAAGAACAACAGTGCAGAATTTTCATGTTGATATTTGATGTTACTGGAATTTGTTTTCCAGATTGTTAAACCATCCTGTTTTAACTTTCACATATAGGACTCGGCAAAGCTATGTGGCGGTTTCAATGATCTTTTAAAACCAGCTGCCTGAGCTTTTCCAATCATCCCGATGTTCCAGAGACAAGTGAAGCAACTGATAACAGACCACCCACCTTCAGCTGACTCCAGTGTATCAGGTGAGCATGCGCAACATTTTGTTTATTTTGAGTAACGTAGTGAGCTTTTGTTTCCGCTCAATACGAAACATTGGTTGCCACAGGGGATTTAATGTTCCACAAAATGAATCACCTTTAAACTAGAACGATTTTGGGCTAAACAATCCTATCCTCTGTGTGTTCTAAGGAAACAGAACTTGTTAATTGTTGGTTGCCATTTAAGAACAGCAAGTAACAATATTTTCAAGAGTAATTTTGAAGTCATATCTTAAGTCGTGGTCTCTGAAGTGGTTTATACAATGAATAATCAAAAAAGGCAGGTGATTTAGGCACCAAAACTGTCCGAAACAGGAGGCCCATCCAGTGTCTGGAAACTCTACAAAACAGTTTCTACTGAAGCACAAAATGAGCTGTCTGTTTGTATATTTAACTATCATGGCTTGCTGACATGGCAGACATTATTTGTTGCATGTTTATCCCCTTCTTTATTAGGGCATGAGACTAAATTCACTCCTTCAACCCCACC